AATATATTTATAGACAAAGTATATGCAGCAAATGCTGTTTTCAGTGAAAGAACTTGAAAGTTCAGAATTGCTTAATCACTTTAGGATGTATTAATTATTCTCCAGGTACTGGTAACCTTTCTCTGTCCTTTCTAGCCACATCACGTACACAGAAAGAGATAGATTAGTAGAAAATTACTTTACTTCCACATTCTGTTGACTACAGGAGAGACTCTTACTTTGAGGGGACATCAGAGTCATTGTATATGTGGGTTTCCACAAGCTAGAGATCTGATTCATGCTGTATTTCAGTCACCATTAGGGAAAATCTGATAGATTTTAATGCAATGTAGGCAAGCCTCTTTTTAACTAAAACTTAGATACACAGCTGCTCAGCTAAACTTGCTAAAGCAATTAGTATAGCTCATAGCACCAGAATTTCACAGGAAAAGGGTGATTGTTGGGTTTTTTTTCACATGTTAACTATCCGGTCAGGTCGTTGCACATAGTTGTAAGAATACATGCCTCTGCATTACTTCCACAGTTTTTGACTGTCTCTGGCTATGTGACTTCTTCTGTATCCATCTCTGAAATTGAATCTGTAACACAGTAATATAACTTAGGTAAAATTCTTTTAACAATCTTGCATGTATTTAGCTATACATATACACACATGTATGTGTATGGTTTATTATTAATGCAGTGCTATGGAATTCTCCATATCTGCACTTATTTCACAGGCTGCTGACTCCTAGTTGACTTCTTTAGCACATTTTAATAGACATAATATGAAGCACTTCCTAGTGCAATTTTTCTTCACAGAGATAATATCAGAGTTTCATTGAGTGGACGGTGGGGTTTAGAATCTGGTATTAGTAGTTGATACTAACTTAGTATGTTTTCTAAAAGCTTACAATAAAACAGAATTTCTGGGAAATGTATCCCAAAATGTCCAGGGATCGGTGTGCAATACAGATATAGTGTAATCTCTCCTGTTAATCTCATGAAATAATGGAACTGAGTTTCCCCCAGCTGGGAATTGACTTGGTCCCACAGAAAACAAAATCTCATCATTGAATTCGTGAAGAACAAGACCAGACCCTAAATGAGGAAAATCTATTCCTGTTTTCTCCTCATATGTCTCATTTTTTTTTATTCCATTTCTACACTTGTACACCAAAAACCTCTAATCTGTTTCGCTGAAGAAAATAAAGCCAGAAGGAAGTGGGGTCAATGTCCACCTGGTCCATCCTGTTGCCTTACAAGAAATGTATTTTTAAGTGTGGATGAAAAGAATTCTTCCTCACATTTAACCTTAACATTTCATGTACATCTTTTCCTATGGTTCTTCATAGCAGCAGCTATGTCCTACCCTATTAGATATAAGGCAGAATAAGCACTGAACCTGCTTTGGAGTTTCTGAGTGTTTCTGCCTTCTCTAGCGTAAAACAAACTAAAATCCATCTCGCCTCTTCTGTGATTCCTTCATCTCAGTTGATCTCTTTGTTCTTCAGATTTTCCTTAAGAAAGAAAAAAACCCTTATATTTCTTTGAAGTTACTGGTCTCTAAAACTATTTATGGCAACAGTCAATTCAGCTTCCCCATGTAAAAATGTAGTTAGTTTTCATTATTTAAAAAAAAAAATAAAATTTTAAAAATCATTTTATAGAATCTCATTGCAACTTATACATACATAGTGAAATGGTTCAAAACCCCTACGTAAACAGTTTTCGAAATTCACACAGGTTCAAGAAGCACAAGATCAAGCCATGTAAAAATGAAATAATATAATTATTTTATGTAAATTTTAAAAAATTACGGAACCAATAGTGTATTAAATTGTATTGCAGTTTTCCATAACAGCTTAGTGAACATAATTTTTTGTTTGCATGTATGATGTCATACAAATGTTGTCCACCAGTACAAAACAGGGTATACAATGAATAAAACAAGCACGAACTCAGTTTTCATATTTAATGTCTGATTCTTCCATAGATGTCAATGGCGAGATTAATTTACTTCTCTGAGGCAGGAGGAAGACCTAAGTGTCCAGTAACATGCCCTTCAGCTTCATGTGCACTCAGTTCTGTTCAGTTAACACACTTTTCCATTGCTGTGACAATTTTAAAGCATTCTGTAAACAAATAGTTAGCTTTCATGCAAACAGTCCATTAGCATTAATCATATGACTCTCATGGTACATTGACAAAAAAAAGTGTTTGCAATATTTCTCTTTCTTCGTGACAAATAAGTATCTGGTAAGAAATGAGAAATAACAATTGAAAATGAAGATTAGAACAACTGTTCTCTTAACACCATTTCATTTCTCTTCAGAAATACAAAAAGCCATATTCTATTTAGTGTAAATATGGAGGATGGCATTTCTGTTGATCAAAATACGAGTCTGCCTCCTTTATCACTGATTCTGTTGCATAAATTAACATTTGCGTTTCCTGATACATTTACCTTAGGAAAATTCTGAAGAATCCCAATTTACTAGAGTACATAATGTGCAACTGCATAAAAATACTTCAGTGAACTGAGTCACTGGCATTGGCTATTATAAACAGATATTTTCTCGGTCTTACCTAAATAATTTTAAGGTATTAAAACCTTGCAGCTTTCAAGACATGCACCTTCACTAGAGTTTGACTGAGCACTGCTATGCAGTCACTGGAAATAACTTGCATTAGGGCTTCTGCCTAACAGGAAATTATGCTGAACCTGAACCAAAGCCCAGTGAATTCAGTATGAGGTTTTTTCCTTCGACTTTAATTGGCACTGGATCAAGCCCTTTGCACACAATCTCCCATTTCTTCAACATTAAAGCAATGCTTATGACTGTCAAACAACATTTTTCCTTTCAATATCTATTCAAAAGGAGATTTTGAAAACCATCCCAGGACTCTGCAAAATGAAAATCAGACTTGTATTTGTGTGTCAAATAATAATCTTCAGAAGCTTGTTATATTGCAGATGGAGATTTTAGCTGCCATGTTGTCCTTCTAAAAATAACATGCAGTTTTCCAGTGAGCATGCAGTCAACTAGCAATATCAGTGTGCATTTATATCACAAGGAATCATTTGAGAAATCCATCTTTATAGGTTTCTATAATCAAATTGGAAAAACTGTTCATTTTACACATAAGGAAAAATGTTTTCAAAATCTTTAGAAATATGACACATTTCAAAGTCCTTTTATGTTTCACAGTGGAAGAAAAAAAGACCATAGATGAAAGTGATAATGAATAGACTATCTAAGAATTTATCGACATTTTTTTAAGTGACAATACTGGCAAACCACAAGAATGGAACGTTAAGGTATTTCCTGTAAGCCAAGAGGAAAAGATTTATATGCACTATCTCCACACCAAAATACATTAAAATCTATTTTCAGGCTTGAAATAAAATACAATCAAAAGGCCATTTGTGACTCTGAGCTCCTGTGTCCTTCTTATGTTATAAAGTACCCCCAAATTTTCTAGCACCGTCTTGACCCTTTTCTTTAAAGGGCGGATACTATTTAGCCAGAAATGCACTTGTATATTTTTTCAGTCCTGATCCAACTCCTACTGTTGCCAGTGGGATATTTTCTGTTGAATTCAGTGGGAATAAAAAAATGTCCTTAAGTAAAACTTAGCATCCTATATTAAAATTGTTGCTGTTAACAGAGATTTATTTGTGACTGCCCCAGTGGCTTACCAGTAAGTTGATGAAACATGGAAACTGTACTTCTTGAACCAACCGTAAGGCAGAAAAGCTGAGGTTATTATGTGTATTCCCTGACGAAAAGCTGCAATTGTTTCATTTATAGGTAAATGCATTCTGGCTATTCCAAGAGTGACCTTGGCAGCCAACTGCGTTGCCCTTAGTGTCAGCAGAAAGAAGGCTGTTGGTGTCAGTGGGCTTTGGATCAGGCTTTAAAGATAAAGAAAGCTTGCTTAAGGAGGAAAACAGACATAAAGAATAGACATGATTTCCCTGGTTTTGTCACTTAGAGTTTAGAATATCAACAAGACGCTTTAAACCCTGAAGAATAATTGTTGTAAGTCAATTATTTTGACCCTGTACATTTCTACAATCGTATACAGTAATAAAGAAGAACAAATCTCTCTGGCTTACAAAAAAAAGGCAAGTACTTTATTTATCAATAGAGATTTTAGCTGCTTTTTACACCATTGCAATGACTAAACAAATAGCAAAAAATAAACAAAGGAGAGTATAAAATCACTTTATTCCAGCTGGTCTCCCAAGACAACCTTTTGACTAAGTACAGAGTTAGATGTTTCAAGTATGGCACTTATATAAATAAGAGCAGAGAGAAGGTGATGTATTCACAGTTAAAAACAATGAACTCTGTTCCTTTGGTTTGTGTGTCATCATAGGTGATTGTAGGTAAATAGATAACTTGGCTGGCATGAACCAACTCCATCTTATTCATGCACATATTAGGGAATGAACTGAAATGTACCAATATATTTTGCAGACCACAACTAAGGTAAGATGATTAAGGTCTCTGGTGTATGCGTGCGGACAGGCAAACAAAAAAATGGCAAAATTATATTCAGCATTTATTGTTTAGCATAACTAATTGATGCACAAACTATGATAGAAAATAGCTAGTAATACACACCAGGAATAAACTCCGTGACTTAGACAAGCAAAATAACATAAGACATCTGTGAGATAGGTGAACGCAGATATCCTGATTGAGCTGTGGTCAGGTTCCTTACAGTGCGACTACCCTCCTTTTAAAACATGCTTACATCTGCACATTGCAACAGTTTCCCCCACCCCATCCCACCCCATATAGAATATCCTTGAGGATTTTTAATATGAACATTCTACACGTTTACAACAATTAGTCAGACAGTCCAAACTGTAAACTTATCCTAATGACGATGAAAAAGCCGCTCCACTGACAGATTACACCCAATCGTTAGAAAGAAAAGTAGGAATAATAGTAGCTGTGCTGTAAGGCTAGAACAAGCATGGTTTTATAGCTGTTTTTTCAGTCTTTTACATAGCACTGCATTTTGCAGCTAGTTCAGTAAGTGCAGATCCAATACCTTAATGGCTTTCTTGGTGGTTTGATAAAATGCTTGCCTAAGCAATGTACCTTTCTCTAATGGTATCTGGGTCTGTTCCACCTGGCACAGTATTTCAGTTCTGTCACAGCCTCACACATAAGCTGAGTCACTTGACTGAGTCCTGCCAAAGTTAGGCATGCTCATTCTTGGCAGGTCCTTATTTCTGATTTCGTATATGGATTTCCTTTTTGCCTGTACTCCTCTCACTGCCATTTTGATCTTTCTCCAGCCCAAGTGGTTCAGTTCTGCCAAATTGAGCACCACACAAATCCCACTGACGGCAAACATGAATACCAAGAATACAGTCTTCTCAGTGGGTCTAGAGACATAGCACTCTACTTCTTTAATGCAAGGGTATCTGTCACATTCATACATGGAAGGGACATTGAATCCATACAGAAAGTACTGTCCCACTAAGAATCCAATCTCTAGGGCATTTCGAAAGACCACTTGGATGATATAAAATCGAGAAATGCCTTCTTGCCTTCTCATCTTTGACTTTGTAGTTCTGATAGCAGGATTGGGGATTTCCTTCACTTCTAAGCAGTCTGGTTCTGCCTCTTTGGTGGAGTTCTCAGTGTTCTGCAGCACCCCATTGACAATTGTGTTCTTGATTTTCTTACTGTCCTCACGCTTCATTGAATCCTGGTCCCTTTCCAAGGTGAGGAAGACAGTGGAGTACCTCCGTTCCCTCTGCTTAGCAGACTGGTGAACGGAGTACGTTATGAAGCAAAGGCTGGGAGTGCACACCATGATGATCTGGAACACCCAGTACCTTATGTGAGAAATAGGGAAAGCCTGGTCGTAACAAGCCTGGTTGCAGCCTGGCTGCAGCGTGTTACAGACAAACATCGTTTGCTCGTCATCGTACACCGTCTCCCCTACAATGGCCACAATGAGTATCCTGAAGATCACCACCACGGTCAGCAGGATCCTGGAAC